TAGCAGCATATACCTCCCCTGTTTCATTCTCCAACCCTTTGACCCCTAAGAGCTGCTTAAGGGTGTATTAGACAAAAAGCACACCTACTGACCCCGTGATGCGTGAGGGGAAAGTCAATGTCTGTCCTCAGTCAAAGCAGAGAGGGCCACGGGGCAGACGACAAAGTGAAGCCACATAGCAAGCTTGAAAATGCAAACCATCCTTCACTTTCTCCTCCCAGCCATCTCCATTGTCTCTAATGTAATATATAGACTTTGCTTCCTCCGACGCAGCCAGAGACTTGACTTTCAAGCTTGCATTTGTCATGTCTTTTTAAGACCCAATGAGGCTGCAGCTCATCGGCCAGCCACACTTTGAGACTATTTAAAACCACTTTCCAATGAATTAGATGCCAGTTCTCCAAGGTGCCAATTATTATTTCGACAATTCTAAGAAAGTACAGGAAAATTAAGGGACTGCCGACAATACGGCGCTGTGGGTTCGGCAATTAATTCTTACATTTCTCAGTTTAATAATCAGCCACATGGACCACGGAGCTGCTAAAATACCTCCAGGGATCTGACCGAGACGGAGGCTGTGTTCCTAATATATTCTTTTAAATTGGAGTTCAGCAGCCAGACATGCTTTAGAGGTCAAACCTTCCTCACACTCGGCCTATGGTAAAAACATTTATTAATGTATTAGTTGAACTAAATTCTTTTCTTTGACACATTTATACAGCCGGAGAAAGTTTATAGATTTGGTTAATTAACTACAGCATTTGCAGGATTTCCTGTCACTGTCTTAAAATATCTGTTACTTGAATAGCCAGTAACTAGGAGATGAACTCACTGCTGAATAAACAAAATTTACTTTGTCCGAGAAAAAAAGCTACTAAAGAGCTCCTCAGTGACTTTCATTTATTTTTTGGATTTAGCATGTCTTTTTTTAAACTACAAGACACATCATGAGCCAAATAAGCAGTCAAGGCCACATTTAAGTATTTCCACCTTGAAATTTCAGTTTCAAATACCCAGAGTCAGACTTCTAGGGTTTCAAACATGTCAAACATAAGGAACTAATCCTGTCAACTACCAGGGTGGGACCTTCTGTATCATTCTTCTTCTTCACAATAAACAAACGACTCCAAACGACTTTCTATTGTTAACATACAGTAGTTTTACAGTGTTTCAGAGTGAGCTGGTGTGCTGGAGCTGCAGTGAGTGCAGCGAGAGGCAGGGACTTTATAGATCTGCACATTGTAGAGCAACAGTGTAAAGTTACATGTGTACTGTAAAAATAGAAGTAAATCACTGGACAAAGACTGTATAGTTAAAATTAAAATTATTGAATTTTCCTTCTGGGATAAATAAAGTATTTTTCATTTCATTTCATTTCATTTCATTAAAGTGAAACATCTTGATTCAATTCAAGCGGAACAACAATACATGAGCAAAAATGTGGACAAGTATTGTTATTTTACAGATTTGGCCTAGACTATGATGATCAAAGAGCCTTAAAAAAGTGCTAATACTTGCGCAAAATTGCTAAATAACGGTTGGATTTTGAAAACATACACACCACGACTGGTTCCAAAATACCTTCTTTAATTTATTCAAATGAAAAAGTTTACGAAAATAAGTTGAAAAAAAGAGTTTTATTTCAATACCTATATTGACTAAAGAAAGTCAGTGCATTGTTTTGGATTTTTAAATATGTATCGAGGATTACAGACTTGGAATGTTAAATCTCTACATATATATAGAGAGAGCTACATGTTTAATTACAGATAATTTTATAATATTTTATTTTATTTTATAATACCGTATAATAGTAGAGTACATTTTTTGTAAATAAAAGAGAGATGCGTGTAAGTTGGCATTCGTGCCATAACATTAGGTGTAATTGTTGGTAATTTAGAGATAATGTCTGTCGTTTTATGAGAAACAGAGTGTTTTCTGTTATTTTCCTTAAAATTAGGATTTATTTATTTATATATTCATTTATTTTTACAGTGTGAGTCATTTGAATTCACAAAGAGATTATTTGGATGAAAGAAACTATGCAATGATGCACAAAGATGAGTTTTTAGTGGTGTAATGAAAGCCTAGAGAGACACTTTAAAGATGTTGTGCAAGTTTCTTTTGTTGTTTGTTCTACATCTAATAATGAACTCGTCTTTTGCTCGCAATAAAATATTAAATGCTCAGTTGAAACGAGGGGATTGTTGCACTCAAGAGTTTTAATGAAAGTGGTGAAATCTGGAGGAATAGAAAAAAAAAATTATGTTTTCCATTTTCATTCACGTATTTTAAATGAAAAAAGCTGGTCATAGACTGTAACCGTACCACCATAGTGATCACCAAAGTGCTGTAGCCTGAAATGAGGTTGGTACATGAAATGTGGTGTGAATGAAAAGTAGCTGTGTCTAATTACTTTTGTCCTACTTTCAATGAACTTCATCTTCATCATCCAACTTTTTTCTACATCAGCTTTCGGGATAATGATCTTCTCTTATCCCACTGAGATTCGCAGAGGGAAGGAGTTAACTTCTGAAACAGGCAGTGTTACTTCAGCGAAAGCAGACGGATTATCTGCGATGCTAATACCCTTCCTGCGGCACTGGTGTGTGTACTCTTACCATGTGCGCAGTAAGACGGTGGATTAATTTGTATTGGTGTTTAATTCTGTATACTAATCATTTCTTCTCTGAATAAAAAAATATCGTTCTGCGAGGAACAAATCGAGGCTGAGCAACTTAAACCAGTGCAAACAGGGTGTTTTCCCACTTTTTTTTTTTCTTCCAGTGACACACAGTGCTGCACTGAGAGACAGGATGAGGTGATGGACAGGCTAATTGTCGGAGGGTAATGGATGCCAGACAGTAACAGGTGGATACAAAGAGGCAGTTAGTCATGGATGGCTTTGTTATCTCCAATGATAATTACACTGACAATTTTCCAACTGTTGTCAGGTCAGCCCAAGGCTAATACCCAACAAAGCTGCATCTGTCATCTCCCTACGTATCCCTGTGACAGAAGATATCGTGTCCAGGAATGCACAACTACATGTACATGTGTGAGTGATGTCCTGTTGCTTGGATTCAGTCCTGAACTCTCATCTATATTCATTGAAATCCTGCTGTCCCCCCAAAGAGATGTGGATTATTCTGAACCGCGTTCAAGTTATTTATTGGCACTGCTCACAATCAGGCACCAGAAACAAGACACATTTATGGGCTCCCGCATTAAACTCATATGCTAATGAGGTGGTGGAAACCATCGAGAAACCGTCTTTCATCGGGAATGTTGAGTGAAATGATTGATGATGGCTCTGCCTCATGTTTTAAAGGTAACGTCTGCTTTATAAGATCTTGCACAGGAGGCAGTGGGAAATCTGAAAGAGATTCGAGAAGGATTTTCCCTCTGTTTCCCCCCTCAAAAAGCACTAAAAATAAAGATAAGGCCAACAATATTAACACTGATTGTGTCTCTTATCTTGAATAAGCCAATAAGCCAGAGTGTCTGGCTGCTCCAATAAGATGATGATCAGTGTTAAGGAGCTGGAGAGACCTTTTTATCTGATATCCAGGAGAAGCCCTTGCTTTTATTGAGACTGAATGGGATCTGCTGTGACTGATTATGACCTACATGGACACAGAGATGTGAAAATACTGTATCAGAGGGAATCTAACATCATGAACGCACAGAGCATTCTTTGAGCTTCAGTGGCTTTTATGGATTCTAAATCAGATTTAGCCCATGGACGCACAGTGATGGACCTCTTCAATATATTGATAGCGCGTTACTTTGAACTATGAAGTCTGTGTTTGTGTTTATTGAGGCCAACAAAGAGCTACACTCCTCACATTGACTCTGTAGCACTGCTGAGCTGATTACTTGTTAATTGTCACATTTTCTTCTGTGTTGTCATGGACGTGCTAAGAGAGTTGGATTCAGTTGCAGCTCAATTTCCGTTTTTTTTTTCTGGTTGAGCTGAGTGACTCTCCACACAATAAGCACAGAAATAATGCATTGATACGGCTCTTTGAAATTTGTATTGGGCCTATTGGATCAAATTATAGTAATACGAGTCGTAATTTCTGAGTGTATCAGTTCATTGTATTGTATTTTATCGCTGTATTGTATCACCATTGCTTCTTCAGTAATAGGAAAAATGTACTGCTGCACAGCCTGGCACTTTTCCTGACATTTGTTGAAATGTTGTCCATCTCTCAGCCAAAACAGCATATAGAAACCTCGTGAATAAGATCTTAAGTAATTAAATCACAGTCGGTCGCAGCGCTCTGTTTGTCACTTACGAACCGTCCATCTGTTTCTGTTGATTGCTGAGCTGCGCAAAAGAGGTTAGTCGGTGATTTCAATCCTGTTTTCAGTCCTGTTAGCTCGTCTTTTTGTTTGATTTAGACATGTGGATTTTTCTGTTGTTGTCAGGAAGGCTTCATTTTGAGATGGACAGTTCTGCTGCTTTGTGCTCTACACCAACATGAATGAAAGAAATCTTACACATGCTACGATTGCAGTCTGTTGGGTGTTTTTTTTTAAAAAAAATCAATGCTACACTCACAATGGACTTGTTTTTTTCTTTTCTTTTTTTTTTTTAAAGTATTGCACACCCTTGGCAGAGGTATAAACTCTACAGATGCCCTGTAGTGGCAAACAGCTTTTGTAAGTAGTACCCATGTTTTCAGTGGCACCTTTGTGTCCTCTGTGTCCTTTCACTGAGCTTTAATGTGCTTATTGCAGTGCTCACTCGGAAAATGAAATCTCAAGGGCAGTATAGTTGACGTGAAGTTAGATGTGGTTTTGAATTACCACACAATTATCTGCTCGCTTTCTGCATGTGGCATTTGGTGATTAAAGTGCAAATGACAGGGTGCATTTACATACGTTTGCAAAATAAGATGCATCTTCGCAGCCATCACGCTGAAATTTATTGGACTAAACACATGCTGGACTCTAATGAGATTTTGATTTGCAACTGTTTTCTTCTCTCGCAGAGATCTGTTGGACCGCGACACTTTCTCCAAATCTGACCCACGTAAGTTCTCAGCTTTTACGATGGTAATTGCAGCTTAACTTTTTCTGATTTTCACTGCTCACAGTATCGCTCGCTGACACCTCCTCTCCTTTAACAAAAGGTTTAGTTTTTATTTTTGCTGAGCTTAACTTTGATTCAGTTTACTCTGCTATTTCAAAGTGCTCCTTCAATAACTGCATATCATTTGCACAGTAATGTGACAACCTTTCCCTTGCTGAGAGCTAAAGCACCTTAATGCATGCAGGGTATAAACGCCACGCAGCCTTTGAATACAAATGGCTATCTTTTGGTGAGACACATGGGGAAATGCCATAGAGGCATTTTCTTTGATATTCCCCGCAGGATAGGGAACGGAGGGGAGACATTTAACAAAAACAGGGAGAAGGTTCAAGTCCCCTGTGCCAGTAAGCTACTGGGAAAATATCACACTCAGCCTGTTTTGTATTCGTCTGAAGTTGAACCTTGGAATATATGACAGGTCACGTCAAGTTCGCCCGCCTCAGCTTTATTTGAAGTCGCAAAATCAAATCGGAATCAGGAGAATCCCTCTGTTAAGAAATTGTGTTTTGATTGCATGGCTTAAATTGTGTACTGTGTCGACGTCACAGCCAGGAGCATCAAACTTGGCTCTTCATTATGCTGTCAGTGTGTGGCAGGATAATTAATGATGAATGTCACCAAAGACGGAACAAAAACAAACACAATTTGAGGGAGCGGAGGGCTTGATTGAGATTTTTTAGTGACTGTGTATTTCTTTGCTCTCACTTTCTTTTTCTCTCTTTACCTCCAACCCCACCTCCCTTCTCTCCTCAGTGGTGGTGCTATACACCCAGGGCGTGGAGTCCAAACAATGGAGAGAGGTAAGAGATCACAGCCGCTGTTCTGTCAACACAAGTCAATCAGCCTGTCTCTCGTCCGCGACAGCCTGCTCTCTGTTTACAGCCCTCCCCACCCTCCCTCTCTCAAGGTAAATGCTGTGAGTGCCAATCATTTGCAATTGATTGACCCTGTGAACACTGGTGCGCAGGTCAGCACTGCGTTAGCTGTGACTGATTGACTGATTAAGGTGGCAGCTACACGTATCGATAAAGATTTGCCTCTGCGTCAGAGTCCCCTCTGGCTGTTGGCCACCGGGCCTTAATTAGACCAGAGAGGCAGATAAAGTAGGCAGAAGTTGCAGCAAGACAGAAAGTCCTTCTGGGATTATTGTTTTCCTGTAATCTCAGTGTAAGGAGATACAGAGAAACTGCAACTTAAATACCATCTCAGCTCTTATTTTTGGGGTCTAAAGCAACTTAATGTACTTTGAGACTTCATAATATTTGCTTCAGCTTTTACATTCAAATCAGTTTTAACTGAATAATGCTATGCTTATTGAGTCCACAGAGACATTTGTGGTGCAACACAACACTTGAATCCTCAATACAAAGTGAAGGTTTCAGTTATGATCTATTTTTGGTGGGTATTCAAAAGGAGCAAGGTTAATTCCAGAAGTTATAGTTGTGCAACACAGACTGATAACATGGATTCCAGCATACAGTGGCCCCAAAAAGTATTTAGACACTTCAACTATTCGCAAATTTCCATAAAGTTATTTCCTAAAACATTTAATTAACTGGTACTTAAGCCATAGAAAAGCATACTTAATATATTTCCAACTAAAATAAGTAACTCAGGGTGCTGCTCGGGGAAGCATGATGGCAACAAACATTTTTGAAAAGCTCTGATTGTCAGACCTAATGGAACATGTCCACCGTTAATGTGATGAGCAGCGCCTGTGGTTACTCCGCTGGCATCGCTTGTGTGAACTGAAGGCCAACTGCCTTCATACACCCACTATAAATTACCTTGGATCTAGTTAGTTAAAAAGAATCTGCAAAAATGTCAAAGGCATGTGAAGTGAGCTCAGAGAAAAGGTCAAGCATCATTTGTTTGCCCAAAGAAGGCCACTGTATTCGTCATGAAATTCCATGCAAGAGAAAAGGTAAAACATGGACTTCAGCCTGAGAGCAGGATGAACACGATCTGACCCAGGGAGCGCGGCGGCAGATTGGACGGCATAATGTCAGTAAAATCAAGAAAAACAGGCGAGAAACAGGAGGCGGGATCACATCGGAGAATTATCAGATACGACTCCATTCACAGACCATTTGAAAAAAGAGTTCGGCTACTGAGGGAGAGCGATACGGAGGAAACCATTCACACGCTAAGATAATGATCCAAAGCATATCAGCCGCCTGTTAAAAGAATATTTTCAGCTGTATGTATAAATGGCCTCCCAGAGCCCTGAACTAAATCCCACAGAGCGGCTACGGGTGCCGTGGATGCAAAAAAAATGATGTGGATGAACTGAAAGCTTTCTGAAACGTCACCACATCTGATAGAGGAACTGGTTGACTCCACATCCAGATGTTGTTTGGTAGATCTGCAAGCTATAGGATGCCGCTTTAAATACTAAAACATTTCGCTTGACAAGTGTGTTGCACTTACAATGCTGTGAAAGTCACGTGTACCAGCCTGCTAATGGACCATCCAACTATTTGACAAAAAATGTGTTGTTGTGAAGAGCCGGCCTTCATAAAGGGGCTGGGATGTGCTCTTGTTTAAGAAATTCTCTCTAAGGAGACAACGATAGTGTTATGGTTCGAGAAAGAGACATAGAAAAGGGCAGACATGACATGAAATGGTTAGGGATCCTAACACACAGGCACTAATGCTCGGATGGACATTTGCTGCATGTCTTTCCCCTGTTCTCTTTCGCTACACTTCCTGTCTGCCTCTGCTGCAGCTATTCATTAAAGGCAAGCCTCCCAGAAAGTAATCTAATAAAAGAGGTACAATAGTAGAGGTACAAGAAAGAAAGAAAAATACAGATGTTCTATCCCAGCGTGAATTGGGTGTGAAAGTTGAATTGTCAGTGTTGAAAAATTACAGATAAGATAAGATGAGATAAAACGTTATTAATCCCAAAAGAAAGTCTTTTCGCTAGATATTGCTTAGGAAAAACAAAATAAGAAATGCAGGGCCTAGTGGAAAAGCAATAAGATATAAGTACAATGCATCACTGAAAATAAAATAGGCAAGCTAAAATAAGAACAGAATAGAAAAGCAAATAGTAATTCTGGCAATGATATTGAGGTACTAAGTAACATAAGATAATGGGCTCCTTCTCCCTATTGTAGGATTAACCTTTTCAAGTTTTATATGCAAATTTTCTATCTTCATGCCCCCTGCTGTGGACTGGTGCCTTCTCCTTTTCGAACTTGTCACCTGATTGGACCAGCACCCTCCCATTAAGCCACTCTAATCCTCTCTACCTGTGTTTGAAAGCTCTCACTATTAGTTATTTGGTGGCAGCCGGGGTTCATCGACGGCTCATCTGTGTGTCTTTTTGTCTGGTGGTTTGGTAAACTGTTTTATGGCATACTTGTTGTCTGGCAGGAGGCTGGGATAAGGATTAAGGACTTTAGTTTACTTTAAAACAATTACACTAGACATTAGATAGGGATGCTCCTTCCATTTACATCTACTTAAGTGTTTTTGGTTTGTGAGTGTAGGCCAGTCGGGTCAGGGATTTACTTTCTGAGCTTTTGTTTCTTTTAGACTGATGAGTTAATTGTAGCTTCTGTTAAAAGTCCTCCTTTTGTTATTTTAATTTCTTCTTTTTGAGCAGCATCCTCTGCCCTCAGTTCATCCTTTTGAATAATCTGTGTTGTTTACTTTCTGTTCATTACCTGTCTCTGGTAAAACCAAGATCTGGTTTGGTTCAGAAGCGATGACCTGGCTGTTTTCTTTTCTGTTCTGACCCCCTGTATCCCACCTCAGAAAGGTGTTGGGTTTCTGATGGTAGCTCACCATCCGACATGCAGTTTGAACAGGCGATAAATCCCTATAAGTGTGGCTTAAGCATCCAAATACTTTATCGGCTTCTGGAGATGAGAAACAATAAATCTTGTTTTAGCGTGGGAAAGCAACACACTGATATCTGATCTGCTTGTGAGGACCGTCACTGACTTAATGTCCATGACGCCCAACAATATCTAACCTAACTATATGTGGAATGTAAAACAGATTGAAAACCTATCCCATAAACCGAGTGTTAAAGAAGTAGTTACTATGCTATTAAATACAAGTGGCGGTGACAATGTGCTGGAGTCAGATTATTTTCTGTATCGTTTTGGAGTCTCCACTGATTTTACCTTTTAGTGACTCCACACACTGTAGAGTGATTCTTGTCCAGTTTTATAGACCGTGTGAATGCAACATGGGATAACTTGCAAAACAGCCTGAAGCTTGACTTATTTGTATCCTTTGGGCAAGTCAGGTTTTTAATTTCATCCTATTTAACTTCCAGCTGCTCTTGCTTTAGTTGATTTATTTGTTTTTTAAACCTTAATGCACTAATCAATGTTTTTGTTCTACTATCTTTGCCGTTTAATATTTTATTGTTATCCGAGTTTACTTGTGTGCCGACTGCATTGTAATTGAGGCCTTCATATCTCAATGTACTTCAAAGTATAAATAAAGGTTGATGGGGATAATGATCTAACTGCCACCAAAAAAAAAAAGTAAAATATTTTGAGAGAATTCAAACTGTTGCTTTAACCTAAACTTTTTAAAGAAATCTCCCTCCACTGCAAATAATACTCAAACCTGGTGGCTCATAATTAGTCTCTCGTGTCCTTCAAGGCTGGTCAGCCGGCTTTGGCTCCCATAAAAGCAAGTCTTGGTACAATTAAATTCTTCTCACAAGCCAGAAGGTAGTTTTACTGGTTAGCATGCAAATATAGACGCATTAAGTGCAGCGCTCAGGCGACAAGAGCCTCCTACACTTGTCACCTCCGGTTACAGTGCCCCACCTCGAGCTTAAAAAATGTGGGTGCAGCTTGTGCACAGTGTTTCTCCCTGAAACAAATACAGACCTTTGTTTTCAGTGCACACGATAGCTGGCTTTGCAAGCAGCAGAGTCAAGCTGTGCCGTATTGATAAAGCTAAGCGCCCCTCCTGCACCCCTGTCAAGTAATGTGTTTTTGTTCCCCCCCGGGAGTAGATGTGGCTGATTGGAACACCTTTCACTTCGCCACCAACCATCTGTAATCCAATTACTCCTTTATGGGGCAAACTCCCCCTTCAGCTGCAACTCATTAACATTCCTAATCGACGCAAGGATACAAAAACAAATGTTATGGATACGTTGCATTTTGATTTTTAGTAGGATGTCTTCATCAAATCCTCTTGAGAAACGTGTCTCCATGACTAATTTCTGTCAGCATCTGTGGTTAATATATAAAACTGTAGCTGCAGCTCATCATTCTGTTACCTCATGATCTTAATTTCCAGCTCCCTTGTCTGTAATTACTCCTGGTGCATGACAGGTTTTCTTCTCTCCACCACATTCACTCGACTAAGCAGCTGACACAATATAGCCTCCCTTGATTCAAGCAAAGCCTGCCCTTTCCTTTTCTAATCAAACTCCTAATCTTTTTACCAAGATCAATTTTCTGACACTCTGGCTCACAATTTATTCTAGTTAGGGTTATTGGAGGGGAAGAAGTGCACAGTGCTATTGCCTAGATATCCCTGTAGTCGGGTTCTTTTTTTTTCTTCTTCTGTTGACAGTTAATTATAGTGCTTCGCAACCTTGACTTTACAGGTTGCCCGTGTTCTTGCCAAAGTGCAGATAATGTGTGGAGCGGGAGATCTGTTATTTCCTTGGGTGGCTGTTTGCAGCTTTGGTGCAGATTCTTCTCCCTTCGTTAAGGGTCGCCTGGGACCAAAGTGAATGTGCTACAAGGGATGATGAAAAAGTTACAAGATTGTGCCTATTAAAATCAAAAAATGTACGTGATTAAAATTTGGCTGCCAGTGAAGCAGTCTCCTTGTGCATCGATACAGGGTGCTTCTGCAGTGCTTGTAAGGCTCCCTGGAAGTCCTGTTAGATGCCAAGCACCAGCTGTGATGAGCGCTGAATCTCTTAAACTGTGTTAAAACGGCAACTCTTTAGCTTGAATTGTATTTTGAGCAGCTGTGGTTCAGCGGGTTGTCCAACAATCACAAGTTTGGCCGTTCGATCCCTAAAGTGTCCTTGGGTAAGACACTGAACCCAAAGCTGCTCCCATGCATGGCCAGGAGTTTTACCTTCAGTCGCCATTGATGTTTGTGAATTTGTGAATGGGAAACATTGTAAAAAAAAAAAAGTGCTATGGACAACTTCTCACATTTCTACAAATATTTTATTATATCTTTTCATGGTCTGTCAATGTAGAGTTCTACTGTAACTTCCTGAAGTGTCCGATGGAGAACATTTGTCTGAACTGTAGCATGATGGCTAATGATGCTGTGCAGTGTACCAAGTCACAGGCTGGATATTATGCACTGATTTTTGGCAACAATAACATATCCATCACTCTTCCCCCACCCTACTTGTCAGGTTTGACTTAATGTGATTTCTTACTATTCACCCAAAATGGTAAATGATCTGCACTTACAGTACGACAACACTGAAGAAATGACACTTTGCTGCAGTGTAAAGGAGTCAGTGTACAGCTTGTATAACAGTGTAAATTTACTGCCCCCTCTAAATAACTCAATGCACAGCCATTAATGTCTAAACCGCTGGCAACAAAAGTGAGTACACCCCTAAGTGAAAATGCCAAAATTGGGCCCCATTAGCCATTTTCCCTCCCCGGTGTCATGTGACTTGTTTGTGTTACAAGGTCTCAGGTGTGAATGGCGAGCAGATGTATTAAATTTGGTGTTATCACTCTCACACTCTCTCATATTGGTCACTGGAAGTTTAACATAGCACGTCATGGCAAAGAACTCTCTGAGGATCTGAAAATAAGAGCTGTTGCTCTACATAAAGATGGCCTAGACTATAAGAAGATTGCCAACCCCGTGAAACTGAGCAGCAGCACAGTGGTCAAGACTATACAGCAGTTGAACAGGACGGGTTCCACTCAGAACAGGCCTCGCCATGGTCGACCAAAGAAGTTGAGTGCATGTGCTCAGCACCATATCCAGGGGTCGTCTTTGGAAAATAGATGTACGAGTGCTGCCAGCATTGCTGCAGAGGTTAAAGGGGTGACAGCAGATTTACACTGTTATACAAGCTGTACACTGACTACTCTACATTGTAGCAAAGTGTCATTTCTTCAGTGTCGTCAGAATAGACACTGCCGATAGAATAGAATAGAACAGAAAGAAGTCACATGAAGTCAAACCTGACAAGTAGGGTGGGAGAGGAGTGATGGATATGTTGTTGTTGCCAAAAATCAGTGCATAATAGCCAGGCTGTGACTTGGTGTACTGCACAGCATCATTAGCCATCATGCTACAGTTCAGGCAAATGTTCTCCATCGGACACTTCAGGATGTTACAGTAGAACTCTACGTTGACAGACCAACGCTGAGGGAATAAGTCCCAGTGAAGAAATCAATGAGCGAGCTCCTGTTCTGCTCCTTGTCCTCCGTTATCTCTTCCTCCATGAAAGCTGATGTTTTGAGCTCTAAACAGAATCTGGTTTTCAAACTAACAGAACGTCCCAAACCTTTCAAAGAGCACAGCTAGGCCTCCAACGGAAATAGTGGAAGTTCATCTATTGGAGGACCAAAACTATCAATAATCATAGATGGAGGATTCTAATTGGCAGAGAGAGCCTGAAGGGGAGGACACTGTAAACAGCAGTGAGAGGTTGCCAATGAAACTCAGTTACGATTAACTCAGATCTTTTTCCAATAAACGAAAGATGTTAATAATATCTCTTCTCTGAGGATTTTGTGAGTCTGAGTTTCACTACTTCACTTCTCTCAGTTGCAGCATCATTACTTGTAATCACCACTGATGATCCTCGACATGCTGGTCGGTTCATCCTGACTACGCAGAACGCTTCCTTCAGTTTGAGCTCCATGGAAAGATGTGCACAAAAACATGCGTAACCCAAGCCCTGGTGCTGATACCATGATTCTAGCTCATGACAATTACTGCTCACACATGTTGCACACGCGTAACGGTGACGAGCACCGAGAACAGAACTTTCTGATCAGCCCTCGTATAGGACCTTGCTGCTGTCACATTGAAACAGGGCTCCTGCTTTCTCAGTGGAGATTTCACCTCCTTTTGTATGTGATGGAATGGAGCTTTCACACTTTCTGACAGAAAAAGCAAGAGAGAAGCTATTGCCACACAATAGTTAAACTTTCATAGACTTTGACACACTTTAAAGCTTGACGGCAGGCTACACTTCAGCAAACCCACACTCTCACACTGTCACATGTTACACACAATCCAGCCTGACTGTCTTTGCATTAGCATAGGCCTCCATCCGGTGAAAGCGTTCCGCTGCTGTCGCGTTACTCGTCTGCTCCCCCCGTTAGGTCTCACTTTGAGGTTTTTTTTTTTTTTTACCCCCACTAGATGTAATCACAAAAAGTGTGAGCCTGTAATCCTGCTGTTTCATCTCCTCATTAAGCCCCAACACTGCTATTATTAATTCACTGTGTCAGTTTACGGTTACACTTTTTTACTGGGGATGTTTTATTTATGCAGCTCAACATCAGTTCTCTGACTTTGAATTATTCATTTTGGAGACAATTAATGTGTGTGTGTGTGGGGGATGCAACGCTGTTTCTCCTGATTTATTTGTCAGCACATCACCTCATCAGAAGGTCTTGCTCTGTAACGCTGATGAAATAGTGTTTTAGTGTCTAGAGTTTGTCGCTTTACATTTTTGTCTTAATGCCAGTGAACAGGAGTTTCTAATGATTTGTGTTAGCTCCCCTGTGTAAATGCAAAAGTCACTGCTTTTCCCTGCCTTTGTCTCGTCATTCCCAAATCCTCCAGTCCTGGTTTTGAAGTGTTTCACAGAGCGGCAGTGGTGCGGATGCGCTATTAATTAAACAAGTGTAATTGGACTCAACAAAACGCTTTCCTCAGGCTCCCACATCCCCAGAAGTGGCAGAGAAGCAGAGCTGACACTGGGCGATCATTGACTTCTGTTAATCAAATCTGATCTTTTCCAAAGCCGCAAGTTCACACGGCTGTTGGGGGAACGATAGATGGGGTCGGGTGAAATAATAGAGAGGTAGATGTAGTGTCTGAATGACTGCACGGTGCGTCAGTTCTAAGCTCTGTGCTCACGTCTTCCTTTTCTGTCTTTCTTCTGCTCTTTTGTTCCTGATCTAGTTTGGGAGAACGGAGGTGATAGACAACACACTAAACCCAGACTTTGTCAGAAAGTACATCCTGGACTACTTCTTTGAGGAGAAGCAGAACCTGCGCTTTGACGTGTAAGTTATTCTGTTTGATCTTTTTTTTTTTTCGGAGGACACAAACCGAGGTGTGTGCCACCCTCTTTTGCCACATGCCGAACATTTTCCTCCTCATCACTCTCCCTCATCCTCCCATCAATCTCTTCATCCCCTCTCCCTCATTCCTGTCTCTCATTTTCTCTCCCCGAGTCGCTCCCCCTTTTTTTTTTCCCTCTTCCTCAGCTCGGCTCTCTCCTGAGGAATTATTCATTGGTGCGGTCTGTCAGTAGTCATTCGTTGAGGGGAGATTGGTATAAAGGTGATAAATATTTCATATAAAGTTTTATCCTTAATCTCCCTGCTGCTAAGCAAAGCAAATGTCTGAAACCAAGTCCCATAAAACTCACAGAGACCCCTGTCTTACCTTCCTTCTCTTTAAAAGGCCACACTAGTGAGAGGGTCAGGAAAGTGCTGCTTCATTTTTAAGGTTTCCCAGCGACAGAGTCAGGATTATTTTCTTAAACAGAGGACATATGCTTCCAAAAACCCATAGCCTTCAAGCATGAAGTCCCTCATGGACTGCTGGGATGCATCCAGGACTGAGCTGGAGGTCTCGGAGGATTTCATGAATTTGTGTGCTGTGCTATCATGATACAACAGGAAGGGAGCGGGTGCTTCCCCTTCACAATTAGTGCTACTCATTTACATCCCTCTTTTATCACAGAGGTGGGAGCCAGGGCATACTCAGGTTTAATTACTTTTACATTAAGTTTGACTGGCAGATGCTCCAAACTTTCCCCGCATTGGTAGATCGTTTCAATATGCTTCCCCTGGCACAGTACGGAAATTACATTCATAAACTATAGAATGACTCCCTTAATTAACTGTCACGTTATTGCTGACGTGTTTTTCTTCCCCCTGAACGTCTCCCCTTTGCTCCCCCAGTGACGCAGGTGTGTGATTGACAGTCAGAAAATGTCCAAGCTGTAGCCAGGGATTTGTCTTCTGTTGTGTTACAAACATCTTAATCCCTTTGATTTGTGGTTCTCTTTGCGATTTCAGGTATGATATTGATTCTAAAAGTCCAGATCTGGGAAAGCATGTAAGTGAAGAACTTTTATTTATGGATCAGGTGCTCGATTTTATAATCCGCCGTTGATTTATCAGTGCATGTGTGTTTAGGTTGTATGCAAACCAAAGTTTGAGGCGTCTAAACGCTCAAATATATTTTGAAATAATGAGTGGATTTTGCTTCAGCTAGCAAAATGTTGTTTATTTTTATTTACCTTCCATCGTCTTCGAAAAACGAGTTCTATTATTCCTCCAGAGCGATAATAATCAAAGTTTCATTTGCATCTGGCATACCCTCATTACCTTTTTTTTAAAATGAGAACTGAAGCATTGCACATCATTATCAAAGCTATTCAACACATTTCCCTGTTTGCTATCCAGTGCTCTTTGCACTGTGAGGTTGTGATTTACAAGACAGCCTGTGGTTTCATTTAAAAAGAATACAGCTTTGTCTGGAAGGAGCGATGCTTTATTGTTGAGCATACATTCAGGGGAACACTTCATTAAGATGAATGTATGTTAGTGCCATCTATTATGCCGAAAGCTTTGATAAATAAACTCATATGGCAGAGACACCAAACAATATATTTGCAGCACTTGGTTTGCATACTACCAAAAATTTCATCATCAAATACGCTTCTGTCACGTGATGCTTTAATTGTCGTGCGTTTGCATCGTGTTCCATTTCTCTGGAAACAAACTGTTCCCCTTTCCTTTGTCGTTTTCCTCTTCTTCTCTTTTTTTGGTGTCTTTCTTTCTTCTTCTCTTTCTCTTTTGCTTCTGCTCTTCTCGTTCTGCCTGTCTGCTCTTTCACGTATCTCTACTTTTGCTCTTCTTTCTTGCACTTGGTTTGATGACAGTCTGGTATTTGAGTCGTGTGTCTTCTGTTCCATGATATGCTCTGTTGTGTCACTGCTGCTGCCTGGTCTCTCTCTCTTCCTCCTCCTCCTCCTCCACCCCGGAAGCCAACCGACTTTAACGTACGTGTCTGCCTCAGACGTCCTAATTTATAACCGTACAATGCTTACAATCGTACTTAACACCTCACCGACTCTCCTTGTTACCCCTCCGTGACCCACTTGACTGTCCCCGTCCTACGTCTCTCTCCATCCCACTTTATGCCCTCCTCCCCATGGCAGGACTTCCTGGGACAGGTCTACTGTACGCTGGGAGAGATTGTGGGCTCACCTGCCAGCCGCCTGGAGAAACCACTAGGGTGAGTGTACGATTTATGGTCTCTGTTACAGAATGAGAGCCTCTCTGTGCTTGGGAGGAGATGTTTACATCAGTTATCCCGTGAAGCAGACAAATAGAGCAATTGTAACTTTGCAAACACAAGTTTTCAGATCTTATCAGATAATGAAAACCCAGTGCCACCTCTCAGTGTATTCAAATGCAGTGTAGCTCTCCTGCTGGATTTCACGCAGTTCGAGCAAAGATGAGGCGGTGATGAATACGTCTCCCTTCCAGAGCCATCTGTACCGTAGATTACAGTGCAAGATTAGACCCGTGTGCCTGGGTGGGAATGGGTAATTGAACATGACCGGGGGCTTCCTCAATACAATTACTGTCATTAAGGGGGGTGATCTAGCACGAAGAATGGATTGAAGTCAGCGTGAGACACATGGCACAAACTCCGTAAATTGGGAAATATGAAACCCCCGAAGCCACTGGCGCCCACAGACCTGCACTTGGCTCTTGGAGTTTCTTTTTAAGAGTGAGGAGGAGGACAAAATATGAGGCTTGTGTGAGTGTGTGTGAGACTGTGAAGTGCAGTGTGTATGCTTCGGCAGTGGGAGGGTGGGTTTGAGAGAACAGCAGGGCTTTTTGGTGTCGACCATGAACTCTGCCAGGGACGGGTGGCGGTGGATTACAGAGCTCAGTGCCCTTCAGTGCTGAATAAGAGGATGAGGAGGATCAAGAGACAGTGTTCACCAGTGTGCTGGAAAGCAGGCTTCACACCCCACATCAGAAACAGGCAGGCAGATCAGGAGCCCTGGGCAGACATGATGCAGAAAAGTATTGATTCCACAGCTTCAGCAGGGCACCTTGATCACCGCTGAGAGGGTGATGATGATGATATGGTTGTCGTTCCAGTCCACAGTGTACAAACTGAAGACATTAGCCTATATGGAAGCTTTAAAAATTTGGGGTTAGCGATTCAGAAACCCTAGAAAAGTGCTCTTGATTCTCCATTCCTGATGACATTCAGTTAAGGGTACAGCTTCGTTCAGCCCTGCACTTTTTGAATAGCTAAACAGCATCTATCGGTAATGGAGTTTTCCTCCCCTCCTGTGATAGACGATAGCCCAGAAGTTGTTTAATGGATATGTGCTCCATTTCCTTGTCATGCATCCTGAAGTGACAGTGCCTCTCTGGACCGTAGCTTTGAGGAACGGCTCCTGGAGGGACTGAGGAAATCTGTTAGTCATGCTTAAACGAGCCCTCCCAAGGCACAGTGCATCCAATGACCTGCTTAAGAAGCACATCAGCACCCCTTTCCCTATTTTCCACACTTCATCTTTCATTTATTCTTCTTCGTTCACCATCCACCAGGATTCTTTTTTTCTCCCCTATCTTGACCTGCTTTTTCATCATTGTGTTCTCCATTTCTTTTTGTTCCCCCAAATCTCTCCTTCACTCTCTCTCTCTGTGCCTTTCATCCCCCCATCCAGCACCCAAGTACTAGTGAGGACATTATACTGACTTATCCTTGTCTTACCTTAATGTTATATAACTGCTCCTCGCCTCCCCAACCCGTACCCAAAACTTAACCCAGTTTTAATTTGTGCTTTAGCCCCAAACTCAATTCTTAAACCTTAATTGTGTTTTTTCACTTTATTGACATCAAACTTTTGTCCTCAAAACCACAGTGAGTCCAAACCTGTCAGCATTTTAAAAGATTCATGCAACTTAAAAGTGGAGCATATATGGCTTCAGCCCTGTCCTCTCTTTAAGATGGTTATACAATATAAGAGCAAGCAGGATTTTTGCTGGCCAGTAGGAGGAAGTAAGAAGACAGTACTGGCATTTTAGCCTTTACTGGCGGATAGAAAGCTCTGGAAAAAAGTAGAGACAGATGGAAAACATGGAACGCGAGAGAGCATTGGCTCTGGAGACGAGGAGCTGGTTCTGCCAGCTGTCTCACTGAAGCCCTTTTCAGACGTGAGGTATTTAACTTTGCTGCTTCATCAATCTGTTGAAGTGATGGCATTCTGACATTCAGATGTAGGCTACCTTTACAGTAATATTCCTCTCGGCCAAATTCAGACAAACCCACCACAGTGAGTCACGGTACACATGCTATATTCACCAAACACGCAAGATTGGACGTTACCTCAAGGTTCAAGGAGCTACTAATGAACAAAAGACTGAACCTGAACTAGTAGCAATCTAATCAACATGGATGACAAGATCAGTCAGGCTCCAACAGAAAATGCTACTGTGAATTTTACTTCAGACTGGTGAGCTGAGTTACCGTTTATAAGCTGCAGTTCAATTATTCATTAAATAGCGTCAGCCCTCAGGTTGAATCCTGAGCTTCATCTAAGCTGGTGATTTACTGTAAAAGTCTGATCTGTTTACTTAAGTCGAAATGTTTGATCATGTTAGAGACCATAGTCTCACAGCAGGATATTTGCACTCGTAGCCTAAATATTCTGTGCATGGATACGTTCCCACAGCTACATACAGAACCTGGTCTTGCTAATCATTAAAGTAACTATCAAAACCATGTTGCATGCCACAATGTTAAAAGAAACGGGTGCTATTTTAGAAATGAAGCCTAAAACATGCTACTATGACTGTTGATCAAAAAGTTCTGAGTCTATGCCTATAAAAATGTAAACCTTATCTAACTAGAATTTGGCCGCCATCCCCATCGCAGTAGTCGCCTTGTGCAGTGATCCAGCACTTCCAGCACTTTTGCCACACTTGTAACGCTCCCTTGAAGTCCCGTTATGTAAACATGTCAAACACCATCTGTGATAAACTTGGAATCTTTTAAACTGTGTCAAAATGGCGACCCTCAAACTTCAGTTTCATTTTGGGGTAGAGGAAGAAGTTACAAGGAGTCTGTGGCTATTTAAAAAAACTTGAATAATCACCACGATCTGACTGGGTGCACAGTGAACTCATACAACACAGTTTAGGGTGTCGGTGACGGATGTTCTCTGTCAAACACTTCAGGACGTCACAGTAGAGCTTTGCCTGGCAGTCTGACTCGGGGGAATGATACAACATGCACCACCACGTGAATGTTGATGAAAACAACAAACATAGTCCTGGTGAACTCCTGACCTGACTCACTTATCAGATTTTGGAAGCTGCTTCTTTTTCCATTGTGAAAATTGCTGCTACTTCACTTGGTGGTAGCTGCAGACCCTCCTCTCAGCTCCACTAATAAAATGTGACACAAAGGTTTTCTCATCTCGGCTGCTGACTGACACAAAATTTGATGTTTACTTCAGTTTGAGCTCTATGGACAAAATGCAAATGAGCATCTACCAGTGGTCACAAAAACAAGTGTAATGTTGGTAGAGCGATGTTAAGTGGCATCTTGATGCACATGACAATGAATCCCTTCCTGCATGTGCACCGCAAACAGTCTGAACTTTCTGATTCACCCTCTTATAAAATTCACATGCCTCATCCCATTTTATCCAAAACTTCAGCCAACCATCATTTTAAGGTATAAAAAAAAAGCAAGTCTTCACCTCAAAATAAATGATTTACCTTGTGGGAACTGAATTCTGCCTGCTGGGGTGTATGTACATTAAGTATTCCCTGTACCCGCATTGTGATGGATACATTGTGCGCATGCAGAAACATAACCTGCTACTCATGCTGGATCAATAATTTATCTTTGTCATCTCTGAATTTGTATTTGCTGCACACAGGGGGACAAATGTAATGTTCTGGCATTCGCTTCAGAGCAAAATTCCACAGACTCATTTGTCTCTGGGAAAATAACAGGTCAGATGCCATTCCCCACATGCCATTATTAAGATCGAAACGTACGCCAGTCAAAGGAATGTGAGTTACGAAGCTGTGAACTGACACAGATGTACAAATCCCTCTGTTTGTAATCTGTTTTTAATGAGAGGCATGTATCAAAGTTATTGGGAAAGGAGGAAATGCAGAGCTGAATGATTGATGCAGGTGAACGGCACCTTTTACTGAAAAACATGTTCGATGTGATGCAACTCTTGCATATGGCCTGCAGGAAGGAACCGTAATATACAGCGCTTTGTGTAGGTAACATGATAATGGTGTTCATTAAACAAATGGCGGTAACCTTTTCTGTCAGTGCGGTGAATTATACCACACACTGGAGCGCATGAATGCAGCGCAACATTAGCATGTTAAACTCATTAGCCTACTGTGACTGCGACCCCCTACTGCAGGTTTGAAGCTGGAAATGAACCAAAACTACGATGACGGTTGTGAGTGTGCCGGCTGCACCCATGGGAGCCGAGCGAGAAGAGGGAAAACGTATAAAATAATATATGAAAAATCATGCACGCTGAGTGGAATAAATTGAGAGGCGTAGCTCACATCAAAGCCTCACCTGAACTGCTTCCCACTTGTGTGTGTGTGTGGGGGGGGAAACATCATCAGAAGGAATAATCTCATCTTTCTCTTGCTTCTACTACACTGAATACAGATTGGTGACTGACTAGGAGAGAGTAGAGTGGGAAGTTCAGAAAAAATGTTTACACATTTGCGAGGTACAGTAAGTGACTTCATGTGGGAAGCTTGTAATCAGATACAACAAGTCAATATACTACATTAACAACACAATACAGGATATAATGGCACCATATATGTGAAAACAATGGTGCTGAGTTAAATTCACACATTGATATAATGTCCCCTGTATGTGTAGGTACCATAAAAGTTAATGTAATATTGATTTTATGTCTTTGGTATCACTGTGGCAATCTATGTTCTGATGTTTTCTGTAAGCCCTTCCCATAATTGTAGTTGAACGTATGTTGTATATTAAGTAGTAAAATTTGTATTTATAGCTGAACAGAGTCGGCACCGCAGTGGATGAAAAACTTCAAAGTCAAAGGCCAGGCAGAAATTACATTAAGTGAGCCCGAGCGTAGAGCAAAAAAATTAGATAATAAAATCAGAAAAGATGAAAGCGTAGTTAAACTGATAAACTCTCTCATGAATTTTCACTTGTTTTGATAAAATGATTCGATTAGA